AATAAAAAGATAGATGGGCGCATTATTTAATATCTCAGAAGAAAACCTTAAACAAAGTAGAGTGCAAATGTAAAAAATAGGCAAGATGAAGTAGCTAAAAATGTAGAAAAATCATTTGCGGTTCAAGTACATGTTAAATAAAGGCAAATGCTCGGAAGACAAATGTTTTTAAATGACAACAACTGCAGTAAACTTAATTGCAAGTTTTGTTGTCTGCGATACAAGCAACTTTAAGGCAACTAAGACACAGAAACTGCATTTGCGATTGTTGCATGCATTTTTCATGCTCTTCTGTGCATCATTGCAACTAAAATGCAAAAGGTTCTTGGCTCTTTGCGAAGTTCAAGGAACTTTAATGGTACAATCTTTAGTTAGTTGATTATGATTTTTTTTTTTCAACCATAAAACTTGTATGTATGCAAGTACATATTTTTTTTCTACTTTATTTTAGTGCAGTCGTAAAAATTTATAATGGAACAGATACGTGTATCTACAAGTATGCATGTATGAATAAAGTGCTGTGCTGTGTGCATCTCGGCAAGATCATTTTCAAAATATTTTATGATAAAATCTGATTTCTTCAAACCCCATATCTTATTGGTTAGTATTTTCTTTTTAATCTTTATGGTTATCTTCTCGAGTTTATTACAGCACCCAGCAGTGGCTGCACTTTTGGTAACCCCGTGTGGCTTCTGTCACCAAACTCTCGCATTTTTAATTTATTTATTTTGTTTTTCGTTGTGTCTTTCAATGTCATTAACATTATTTGGCATGCTGTTCAGTCCCACAGTTGCATGTTTCACGTTATAAAAGTTGTATTTTCCGATTCTCATGCGGGTCTTTTGTAAATTTTTTATTTTTTTCATGGCTCATTCCATGTTGAACTGAGATGTTTTCTTCTTTTAATGTCTTGTCGTGATTTCAAAGTTTTTATACTTGCTTCCTGAAAAGTGCATCGCTGGTAGCGAAGTTATTTAATATGTTAAGAACTTATTTATAATTTATAGCCTATTATGATAATATACTTATAATTTATGCTTTTTAAGATGATTTTATGCTTTTATGTGGTTATTGGACACAAAAATCTAATGTAAGCAGAATTTTATGATCTATAAAATTTTATTTATAGGTGTGACATGTTAGGTAAATCTGAGCAAATATGATATCATAAATTTTAACACATGATTAAAATGTACTAAACTTAAATTAAAATTTTTTTTTTGCTAAATACTTTATATGCAACTATTTTATATAAAAAAAAGGTTCTTAAAACAATAATATGTAAATATGAAATGTTTTGTATGTATATATTATAGAATTAAGTAAATCATATAATGAAATATTAAAAGAATGGTAATAGTGAGAACATTTTTATATACAATAAACTTTTACCAAGTGATTTGATCCTTTAGCTGTCTCGGATACCACGAAATCCCAAGCAAGTATGATAAAATCAATTCATAAAAGTTTTTTGGATCTAAAAATGTTTAAATATTTCATAATACGATTTAATTAATACTATAATATGAATCAGTGGCCCTTGGAAACAACTATATACTCGAAAAAGATTTCTTATTATAGAACCAAAATAATTTTTATTATATTTGAATATCACCAAATATCCATCATTAGTAGTCTTTGGTAACATCTATAAAGTCGAAACAGATAACACAAAAAAATTTTTGTCTAAAATTAAACTAATTTTATAAAATTAGTTTTTAAGATTCAGTGAAGATGAAATTTATTAAATTTTAATCTTAAATTTAGTTTTAGGTTACAAACCAGAGCTACTTTTTAAAATTAATACAAATCGTATATGTAGTTATATCTGTAATTAAGTATTTAATTTAATTATGTCCGTCTGTCAGTTATCAGTCTGATTATGAATTTGTCTTTCAATATTTGCTATTTGTTTTTAATTTTAATTTTGGAGTCTGAATGATTGTCCTAATTGAACGAAATTTTGATCCCGGATTAGTTGTTCAAACAGGCATTCGACGTTATCACACCCATGGTATAGTATATCATGTATATAATATTATAATATCAAAACAGGTTTAATTCAGGAAAAGACATTAGTTCTGAAAATAATATACATATTCAAATAACATCGGGAATAAAGTTTCACTTTTATTTTTTATATTTTATTCAATATTGTCCTCATTTTCTATAGTTTTAAAATTAGAATATATTTTTCATATACAGTAGATATATGAGTTTTAGTTTGTCTCAGAAATATATTTTTTAAGTATAATACTGATTATATACTTTATAAGTATAAACATATTTATAAAATATAAATATAAACGCGTTACAATGTTTGAAGAATTTGACTTTTAATTTCCACAATCATTTTGATCTGTTTCCTCAAGTTGTGCTGTATCAATATTATTCGACTCCAGTATATTTCTAGCTTTCAATATAGTCTCCTCAGCCGGCTTACGTTCACGTGTTAAAATCCAAGTAGTTGCTATTTTTCATATAAGTTTATAAGAAAATATTTATTATAACCATTAATAAATACTTACGACTTTTAAATGTCACAAGTGCATATTATTCTTATCATATCTTGAAATATATGTAATATCTACTTACTGGAGTGAGTATCTGGTTTTGCTTCATAGCAAGAATATACGACAGTGTAAGTGTTGTAATCTGTGTCTAATATCCAATAATTGCTGGTTGCATTACGACCAAAGGGAAATGTTACTTTCAGTTTAGCACCATCAGTGATTGTGGCATAACCACTTATAAAATTTATAATTCCGGTACTGACAATCAAATGAATAAATATAATAGCATATGATAACAATTTAAAAATAAATATATATAGTTTTATACATACTATTTATTAATTTGAGTATTGATCACATTAACTTCACCATTATCATTAAGTGTATAATTTGCAGTTATACATTTACCGCCCAACTCAGCGAAGTACGGGAACTTAAATTGCTCAAACCAAATGCCAAGATACTATGTGAGAAATATAAGTCAAAAAATATGTAAAGTATTTTAATAGTGTAAGAATATTAAAATTGAAGAAAAAATTTAGTTATAATTATTTATTTAAATTGATATTGTCTTATAAGGCCAGTTCCGTAATTAAGGGGTGTTGTAGGGTACAATATCTAGGAAGTATTATAAGAACAGTAGCTATACCTTGAAAGATATTATATTAGAATGTGGGCAGTTTAATTTTTATGGCACGTCAACGATAATATTTAGAGTTTAAATACTTTCAGTTCTTCTCAATAGATAATGAAGCGAAAAAATAGTGTTTCGAGTAAACGAAATTCAAAACAAATTTGGTACATTAATTAATAGGTATCGAATAGTTTATTGGCTATTTTGACAAACCATAATTTCGAACAACGATCTGAGGTCTTAATTAAATGTGCTATTTATATTAAATTATGTTACGTGTCCTAGAGTCCCTATGTTCCACTGGGAGATAAGAATAAGAGAGAGAGAGAGAGAAAGATGTTACGTGTCCTAATTGTATGTGTAATAAGCATTGTTCTCGATTGGCAAGGTGGCAAGCTCGGTATGTTCGCTGGCAATTGGGTGAGTTTATAACTACACTCCACCACACTAGGACAGCAAACAAAAAAAAAAGTTATGTCAAATATAAAAAGGATGTAAGAAAATAAGAAAAAACTAAAAAAAAAAAATAAAATAAAAACAAAACGATAATTGAAACTGTCTTCAACTCTCGTCTGTCAGTTTCTATGGTCCTCTTTATTGTGTTGTTTTCTACAATTTTCGTTGGCTTAGACCTGTCACTCTCGCTACATTACCATTATTAAGCTACAATAAAAGTTCCTATGAAATTATTTTCAGCTCCCTCAGCAAAGTAATCTATCTTGTCTAGTTTTTAATTAATTTTGATATAACCCTAGCACTGTCTCTTTTTCCAAATTCAGTTGTCACATACGTTTATAGAATTTAAGTCCTCATACCTAATAAACATTTAGGTGAAATTTTGGGTGGATTGGTTATACATTAAGAATACAGTAAAAATAAATATTTTTAACTATAAGGTATGAGAAATAGAAAATGCTACAAAACTACATGATAGCTTCTTCCTAAGCAGAAGTGAACGAAATATCTTCAATGACTAACAGAACTATAATATACATACTATATATTCATAATATATAGAATATATATATATACATATTATATATACATAATATATAGAATACATAGGTATATATACATATATGGTGGAGAGAATGAAGTACTTTTATATTTTGTTATACGGAGTTTATGCTCAATATGGAAGCAGTTCAAAATATTTAATGCTGGCTTTATTGTTATAGTAATATCTATTGGACTTAATAGAAGTCCAAGTTAAGGCCGTAAAAAGTTACGATCGTTCACCGTTTTTGCTTTTTTAAACTAATATTCCACATAATTAACACTAATACTTACATACTACATAAGACTTACTTGTTTTAAATCGAAGTTTTCCATAACTTGAATATTAGTAGGACAAGCGCCCTTTCCACTAATTTGAGCGTTACCGTAACCAATTTGGGTTATGGCAAAAAGCAAAATAAAATTTTTTATACTAAAAAAAAAAACAAAAATGTATTTACATATAAGAAATGCTAAAAATTTCTTTAAAAAATTAAAGACTTACTTTATTTTGAACATATTGAGAATAACTGCGGAATTGTGTTGTGCGATTGAAAGACTGCATTTAGTGCAGAAATGCATTCTCTGTTAAGAGCTTTTAAATATTTTCTACACTGAACATTTCACTATCTTTGTTATTTTACATATCTTACCTTGTATTTGATACAAGTTCAGATATTGCAACTCACAAGTGGGTGTCAAAGTAAAAACATTTTCCATAGTTTTTATCAGTCCAAGGAAATTTATAGATAATTTGTTTATCATTTGTTTGTGTATCGAATATAATTGTTTTGTTGTAAACATTATATTTCTGATTGATAAGACAAAACTTAAAGCTCTCCAGAAATTGTTTAATTATGGAGAAATATTTTGCAGCCCACAACCCAAGTAACATAATTAATATAAATTTTTACATTATTAAAATTATTGCAGCATAAAAAAAAATTTTATAATTATAAAGCAGTTATTGTCATTTGTCACACTTAAGAATTTTTTCTATAATATATACTGGTCCACAAAAAAAATTATTAGTTTGAAAAATGTATAAAATTTATTAAATAATTAAATATTTTTTTAAAATTTTTTTTTATAGAAGAAGCACTCGTAGAGTCTGATGTTGATGCACCGCCTCCATCTACAAAGCCTGCCATCGAACCAACAGTACGAATAAAATGCCTCTCAGGTGCAATGCTGATCACAATCAAAGATGCGCCACCAAGTCATGAGAGTGGCCTATTTAATGGCATGGTCTATCCGAAAGGCTTGTCGAAGAATTCCACATGCCTAACAGAATACAGGTGAGTTACAATTTATTTTTGATTTTGTTGTTATTTTCTATTATTTTTGGATTCAATAAAAATTGCAACTATGAAATAAACATTTTTAAGGCAATTTGCTATTGAAATTTATGTTGACACCCACGAAAATTTATTACCCATAATTGCTGATTTACAGATATGAGTTTATAATTTTGTTATTTTTTCATATCTTTCATTGCAGAGATCACGAGGGGCCTTTGAGGTATAAATTACCGTTGCGTAGTTGCAACACAATGCCACAAGAAACGGTAAGTTGTCATGTTCTTTGTCTATATATATATTTTTTTTTTTGTAAAGAAAAGGAATAAAATTGTTAGAATTTGTAAAATTTGTTGAAAATAAGTTTTTTTATCGATGGCCTCATCAAACTCAGCTATTGTTTAAATTAGGGTTAATGATCCTCTTAGTTATATAGTGACCTGAAGAAATTTACTTTTTTCAAACTTGTTCTGAACACGAGATATTCGTACCGTTTTGCAAGGATTTGGATCGGAAATATAAGAGCATAATAATTAATTCTCAGAAGCCGACTATTACTGATTTTAGTATGTATATGCAATATAATGACCTTAAATCAATGTTATATATTAAATCATATGATCTTATTCATAATAAAATTATCAAAATAAAAGATTAATCCTTTAATATGCCCATATGAATATTTGGTAAAGTTACATTTAGTTGACTAAATAATACACACAAGGTTTGTAAATAAATCAAAAAAAGAAAATACTTTTCAAAGCCCTAAAGAGAAACTTTCTGTATTATCCCATCTTTCTGGCAGTAGCATGATATCACCCTCATAAAAATTTTGTTCTTTGTTAGCAAAAAAACTGATTCAGATGATTTTTGAAATCCTTGTCTGAAAAGCAAAGATTTTACCTTACAAATATTTTGTAGAGACCGGAATAATTAGTTAGCAGTAGGTTAGTTAGTAGCAGATCTAGAGTATAGAGGATATATTCTATAGAAACCATAATAATTACTAAACTTGTGTGGGATCTGTCATTATCTTGATGGAATCACTTTTATTGTTCAATTCTGACCTCTTCTGTTTAGATGCATTTTAGTTAGCAGTAGGTAGCAGATCTAGAGTATGGAGGATATATTCCATACAAACCATAATAGTTGCCAAATTTGTGTAGGATCTGTCATTATCTTGATGGAATATTTCACTTTTATTTTTCAATTCTGACCACTTCTGTTTAGATAAATTTTTTAATTGATCGAGCTGATGATCTTCAAAGATCTTTAGTTTGACAATATTACTATCACAACCAGTTGTATTTTAGTTGAGTCATGAATTTTATTATTGTTTCACTTCAATAATAAAAAATCCATACATAAGTTTTTATGTCTTCTTTGAAAGCCTTAAATTTGGCACCCTTATATTAAATAAAAACTAAAGGAAATAATTTTCAAATGATTCATGTAATTAAAATGCTTCACCGCAATGACAACTGTAGCCACAAGGCCGGACGTACCTATGAATGGAAACGGTTAGAACAGGTATTATTGACGTGTCTATACTCTTAATGAAATAGTTTATTTAGACCTATATAGTAATAGCAATTTGGTATTACATTATAATTGGTGTAATTGGTATTTGGTATTATATTATAATGTAGAAACATTCTTTTTGAGTGCTTCTTTCAAAAGCTTAATATATTAGCCGTAATTTTTTCTTTCAGAGTAGCAAAAAAATACTCGCAGCTTAAGGAAGAAAACATGTAAAGCAACAACAATGCTCTTAAATACTTCAGAGTTAGGTTTTATTTTTATGTCTTAAGTTTTAGTGCAACCAAATTCAAAAATCTGTCTATTGTAAATGAGTATTTAAATATGTTGCAATTATCTACTCATCCCTTAAAATGACTAACAAAAATAATAACAAATTGCAATATATCAAAACAATAAGATAAAAACTGCTTTCCATTGCTCTTTTATTATTCATTTTGTTTTCCATTATTTATATTAATTAATTTTTAATTTTAATAATATTTATGTTTCATAAATATTACAACACAACAAAAGACATATGTCAAAAATAAGGATTTAACATATTTTAAAAGTGATGCCAATTTGTTTCAACCAAAGTTAATGCTGTTTTTTTCTAACTCTGAAAGAAAAAATTACGGCTATTGTTAGTTGTTGTTGGTATCATTTTTGTCTTGAGATTAAAAAATTCCGAGTTACGAGAATGTGACAAATATTATTATTACCAATATTTTGGAAATTTATATTGAACAAACTTCACTGGTCTTGGTAATGGTTCTTTACAGCAGAACTTTAAATAATATGCATAGTGTAATACTTAGATATTTCGCTTATTTATGTTGTATTTTTCATTAGTATAGATTTTGTTATATCTATGTAGTATATAGTCGAATTGACCATTTATTTGTTTAGAGTATTATGCCATCAATCTTAACCATTATCGTTAATCGTTTAATATAAGAATGAAACAGTAGTATAAGCCTTTTTAAGGAAATAATCTTATATGCATAAAAGAGAGAAGAGATCCAAATATTCTTCCCTGTGGCACTTTAACAGTGATCGTTTTTAAATAATCTTATATGCATAAAAGAGAGAAGAGATGCAAATATTCTTCCCTGTGGCACTTTAACAGTGATCGTTTTTAATTTTTTTTTTATTTGAGATATATTCATTACTTTGGAACCGCTTTAATTTCATATATATAAGAATATATGAAAGTATATACATATTATAATCTCTATTTTTCTTAATTCGTATTTAATTATTTTATAATTATATATATAATTATAATTAAAATTTATAATTGTATTTATAATTGTATATTTATCATATTAATTAATATTATAACGCATAGTATTATGTTCTTAAAATGTTTAATTATAATATGGTTTATTAAGTATGATTTATATTCATACTATATTTATAGAATAAAGATACAGTTTAAATAAAAATTTTTAATGCATCATTTTTCCTATTTTATTTTATTGTATTTTATTTTTATTTTATTTTATTTTAATTCTTTTTATTTTAATTTATTTCATTTTATTTTATTTTCTTTTATTTTATTTTTTAATTAATTTTATATTATTTTATTTTATTTAATATTATATTAATTTTTTTTTTAATATTTAGTTTTACTTTTTAAATTATGCAAATGGAAATAACCTTTAAACTTAATTAAAATATTTCAAAAAATGTATATAAGCGCGTCCTTAAGTGTGTAATTAGTATAAAGTTAAATAGTTGCAATAAATTTTTTTTAAATTAAAATTAATATAAAATATTTGAAATATTTTTATGTGTTTAATGAATATTTTTGTTGTAGAATATTAGTTTCGTTCCGCCCATTGCTTGTTTATAAAAGCGATTGTGGTTGGTTTGATATGAAGATGTCTTGCCATTTATTAATGCAAATTCTTCGACATTTAAAAGCAAACCTGACTAATTAATTAGTTAAACCTTATGAGTTTGATATTTTAATAATTGAATAAGCACTGTTTGAAAGCATTGAATCCGTGCTAAAATTATTTGTTACAAGGTAAAAACTTAAAAATGTGAAGATGATGAAGCAATATAAACCACAAGCAAACAAGTTCATTCGGTAAAATTTAGAAATATTTCAGATAATAATAAATTGCATAGCACAGATGTTATCATTGGAAACAAAAATGCTCATTTTTAGTTTGAAGTTTATTGTATATAATAGTAAATCTACAGAATTTTTTTAAAATTTTGTTTTGATTTATTGCATAGTCAATATTTTCATTTCAAAAAAATTAAATTATAAATTTTAACATTTTTAAAAATTAATAATATCTGACGTGACCTCATTTTGAAACAATGAGATAAATATTTAACAGATGTCGGAAATATTTTCCTTGGCATTTTTATTAATTTCTTCTAATATCAATATTTTAAATATCTCAAGCTTTTATTATATTTTCTACTTCTTATTTTCATATTCGTTAAATTAGAGTATCTTAAAGAGTTTTTTAGCAGCAAGCTTGGTTTCAGTATTAGCATAAATTTTCATAATTTTTTAAGATTGATAACAAACTGAGATAATAAAATAATAACTTTCTGCAGCTAATAACAAATAAAATAAAAAATAATAAAAAAAAATATATAAAAAAATATTTTTTGGTGTCTTTTTAGTCTTTTTTGTGTGGTAGGTGGAAATCATCGACATAATAAAGAATGTGGAAAGAATATTTCCACAATTGTCCCGGAGGGTTATTTGTG